CAGCTAACTCCCGCCTTAACTGGAAGTCTGCTGAAAGAGAGGCTTGGACCGCAGCCTCACTCCCGGTCACGCGTCTATACTCCGGGCCTGGTAGATACAGCAGCTCAACCACGGCCGACTGCCTGCCTCCAGACGTTCAGTACTCCGGCCAGCATTCCCCCAGCACCCGCAGGTAACAGCCTTGCAGCCTGGTTCTCCGCCCTGCTGCCACGAATGAGGGAAGAAGGGCGCCTTGATCCCGAAACACCAGGCACACCTCCCTTGTGCCTGGAGACTCCTACTCTCTGGGACCCCTGGAGCTGGTGAGTGAACCCAGTTTGCAACCTGCCCTCCCTGGCTTAACTGCTTAAACCCCGGGGGGCCTTAAGTCTCAAAAAACAACTAATGTTTCATTGCCAGGGAAACACAATCAAGAACTGAGGAGTGGAGGGAAGGGAGGGGAATTTAAACTCCATTGTTGATTGTGTTTCTTGTCAGGTGGAGCTACTCATCTCTCATGTGTGCTGTCCTGGGAGATGACTAGAGAAAATGCCTTGTTGATGTCAGAGGAAAATGGGCAGATGGTTCGAGATGGTAGAAAGGCACCAGTAATTCAAATAACCACTCGTTACAACCAAGGTATGCAGAATACCATCTTTGAACGCACAACATGTCGAACCTTGAAGCAGATGAGCTACAGCCGCAGAAGACCACACCGGGTAGCAAGGTGTACTTAATAAAGTGGCTGGTGAGTGTATATTGTACCAGGCTTTAATAGGGTCTATTTACTTTTGATGTCTCCCCTGCACTCCATTGAAGCCAATGGAGCACAGATTCAGGGCTAAGGGTTGCTTCCTCCCCTTGCAAAATCCTACTGAGACATCCTTTTGTGTGCATTTCCAGGACGAAACTACATGGCGGGTGTTCTGATTCTGCCTGCACAAACACATACAGGCAGGCCAAGATGCCAACATAAAGAAATGACATGGGGCACACGTGATCTAGCACAGGCCATGATGTGACATGCAGTCAGGAGAATAGCAATAATGTTAGGTGTGATCTCTCCCTAACAGGAAGTTCAGTAAAGCGCCACTCAGGAAAGACAATGTTGATAAATACTGAGAAGAACGGGTTTATAAATGTTAAAATACATTTTTTTTATTATAATGTACTAAGGGGTAAGGAGATTGTTGTGTTGTTAAAGCAGAACTAAACCCATTCATTTACCGGTCTCCCAGAAGTTACATTCAAAGCATGCCGTGAATTATATCTGTCACAGCTGCTTGTGCCAAAGGAAAGGTCAAGCCATCAAATGTCTGGTGTCATAACTGATCACGTGTGGCACCACGGCAGCTGCAGCTCAAACAGAGGCTAAGATGGCAGCTTCCTTGGGTTTGATTCTGCTTTAAAGTGATTGTAAACCCTCACCTTGTAAAACAACCCAGTTTAAACCACTTGTCTACTGAGCACTTATACCCCCTTCTTGCCCAGGCCAATTTTTGGGCTGTCGCACTATGAATGACAATTGCACGGTCATGCAACATTGTGCCTATATGAAATTTTTATCATTTTTTTCACACAAATAGAGCTTTCTTTTGGTGGTATATTTAATCTCCACTGGGTGTTTTATTTTTTGTGTTATAAACAAAAAAAATTGAAAAAAATAAAGTTTTTCTTTGTTTCTATGACAAAATTTTGCAAACCGGTAATTTTTCTCCTTCACTGACGTGCGTTGATGAGGCTGCACTGATAGGAAGCACTGATGAGGTGGCACGGATAGGCAGTACTGATAGGAGGCATTGATAGGAAGTACTGATGAGCTGGCACTGATGGGTGGCAATGCAGGGCACAGATGGGCGACACTGATCATCAGTGCTGATCACTTCTCTGACAATTGCCGGTTATTGGCAGTACTTTCCTCATGCTGTGACAGCATGAGAAAAGTACAGCCGATAACTGTATTTACCTGGTGATCTGCTGTGTCATTGGACACAGCTGATCACGTGGTAAAAGGCAGCTGTGATTGGCCATTTACCGTATCACGTGATCAACTGTGTCAGTAGGACACAGCGATCTCTGGCAGAGCCAGGTGCGCGCCGCTGGGGGGGGGCAGGCAGGGGGCATGTTCTGTAATGATGTCCATGGACATCGTCCCAGAACTAGACAACCACGCTGTAGGCGTCTTTTGCCTATAGCGCAGTAGGGAAGAGGTTAAAGTAGAAATGAAAGGCAAAACATTTGTTTATAGATATAAAAAAACAACAAAAAAACAAAATGATTTTAACCACTTGCATACTGGGCACTTTCACCTCCTTCCTGCCCAGACCAATTTTCAGCTGTCGCACTTTGAATGACAATTGCGCGGTCATGCAACACTGTACCCATACAAAATCTTCATCATTTTTTTTTTTTTTTTTTAGACAGAGCTTTCTTGTGGTGGGTTTTTAATCACCACTGGGTTTTTTTTTTGCTTAACAAATGAAAAAAAAAGACTGAAAATTTTGAAAAATAAAAACATTTTTCTTCTTCACTGATGTGTGCTGATGGGCTGCACTGACATGTGAAGAAAGGACTGCCGATACCCGGCAAGTCTGTTTACAAGATCAGCTGTGATTGGACACAGCTGATTACATGGTAATGGGCCGATGTGATCAGACCTTTACCACGATCTGTGATCAGCTGTGTCTGAAAGACACAGCTGTGACACAGCGCGCCAGATGTGCGATTCCAGGAGGACGTCAATAGACGCACTCCCAGAATTAGCTGACCGTGCTGTAGCTCTTTTGGCCTCTTTCCCTGATTTCTCGGTCAAGATCAATAGCACAACTACCAACCCATTCCCGAATGCCAGGTGCTAGGGGTAACCCTGGATTCTGAACTATTCTTTCAGGCCCACATCCACTCCCTGTCCAAATCACGCTGCCGCAACATCTCCAGAATATGTCCCTTTTTAACCAATGATATCACAAAGTTCCTAATTAACTTCTGGTTATCTCTCGCCTCAACTACTGCAACTCCCTCCTCATTGGCTTACCTTTACATAGGCTATCCCCCCTTCAGTTCTTCATGAATGCTGCTACCAGGCTTATCCACCTTACCAAACGTTCAGTGTCTGCTACCCCTCTCTGCCAATCCCACCACCGGCTTCCAATCGCCCAATGAATAAAATTCAACTAACAACAACTTACAAAGCCATATAAAACTCTGCCCCCAGCTACATCACTAACCTGGTCTCAAAATATCAACCAAACCGCTCTCTTCGATCCTCCCAAGACCTTCTGCTCTCTAGTTCCCGTGTCACCTCCTCCCATGCTCACCTCCAGAACTTCTCCCGAGCTTCTCTAATCCTATGAAACTCCCTACCCCAATCTGTCCGGCTATCTCCTAATCTATCCACCCTTAGACAATCCCTGAACACCCTTCTCTTTAACCACTAGCCTACATAGCACTTTTATCCCCTTCCTGCCCAGGCCAATTTTCAGCTCTCAACGCTGTTGCACTTTGAATGACAATTGCGGGATCATGCAACACTGTACCCATATGAAATTTTTATAATTTGTTTTAGACAGATAGAGCTTTCTTTTGGTGGTATTTATTCACCTCTGGGTTTTTTATTTTTTGCTAAACAAACCAAAAACAACTGAAATTAAAAACGTTTTTTCTTAGTTTTTGTTTTAAAATTTTGTAAATAAGTGATTTTTCTCCTTCACTGACGTGCGCTAATGAGGCTGCAGTAATGGGCACTGATAGGCTGGACTGATGGGCACTGATGAGGAGGCACTGGTAGGTGGCAGTGATGGGCATTGACAGGCATCACTGATGGGCACTGAAAAGCATCTCTCATATATGGCACTGATTGGCAGCACTGACTGGCATTGATAGGTGGCACTGAAAGGCAGCTCAGATGGGCACTGATATGTGGCATTGATGTGCACTGGTAGGCACTGATATGTGGCACTGGCAGGTGGCATTGATGAGCACTGACAGCTGGCACTGCTGGGGCTACACTGATGATCAGTGCCCAGATGATCAGTGTACATGTCCCCCCAGGAATGCCGATTACCGGCTCTCCTCTCAAGCTGTCAGCATGACAGCTCGTGAGGAGAGAAAAGCTGATAACCGGCATTTCCCTGTTTACATGTAATCAGCTGTGATTGGACACAGCTGCTCACATGACCGAGCCAACATCTTCGGCTCTTTCCGTTGATCAGTGATCCGCTGTGTCCGAGGGACACAGCGCACCACCAATCGCCGCGCACACGTGGTTAGAGTGGGAGGACATCATATCCTCCCAAAACGAGAGAACCACCTTGCGCCGTCATTACCTTATATGGCAGGCAGGAGGTGGTTAAAGAAGCCTATCCTGCTTCTAACTAGTAAACTGCCTTTTATTTCCTCCATCAGCTCATTCCCCCACAGCTACTACCCTTATGTACCCCTCACCCCTTCCTCCTAGATTGTAAGCTCTGACGAGCCGGGCCCTCTGTTTCCTCTTGTACCAAATTGTATTGTAACGGTAATGTCTACCTTCATTTTGTAAAGCGTTGCGCAAATTGTTGGCGCTATATAATTCCTGTGTAATAATATCGCAGTCGGCAAGTTGTTAAAATTCATGCCTGCCGTACTTTTTGTGTGATCCCCTCAGCATGGGGTATCTCCTGCCACCAACCTGCAGGCCTGATCCTGACATTATTATTATTATACAGCTCTTACAGAGCTTCTACTGCACTCCCTGGATTCCACTGACTGTACACTGCACACAGACATTCCTCACATCACACCATCAGGAAACTCCTCCACTGCAAACCTGGGAGACAACAGCTGGTACTGGGGGCTTCACACATCATGAATGGAGCCCTCAGGCTGGTGCTGCGCTCCTGTGTTATCAGCAGACATACCCCAATGAATAGCAGGCAGGCCTCAGGTGACACTGTGTATGACAACTGCTGGGTGTCACACATGGGCTCCCCTCCCCCACCTCACACTAACAAGCCCCCTCCTCCTATCTTCCACACTCTCACCTCTCTTCGTTCAGGGTAATTTCAGTTCCTGGGACCCTCCTGGCTCTCACCCCGGAGCGACACACAGCCCAGGCCCGGCGTGATGACGTTCCATGACGCCGCGTTCCAAGCCTCGCTGCGAGAAGACACTTCCGCGTGTGAGCGCGCAACCCTGAGAAAAAACTTTCTTGTCACGCCGTATTCGATTTTTAAAGAGGACTTTACTTTTCCAGTAACGACTCGTTTTAAAGTATCATTTAAATGTATATAATGCGCGTGGAAATGTGTTTCTCCTGGTGTGTTGGTGCGGAACAGAAGCTGTCACGTGGTGTAACTCGCATCTGGGTACCAATGAGTAGAAGAGGACTAGAGCGCCCCCTAACGAACTGTAACAGATATAAAGTCCAATCTCATGATTTTCATCAGGGGTGATCAACTCACTTGATACATCACCCCACTGACATCATCAATGACCACATATACTATTCTGTATAATATAGTGCTACAGAAAGCTGCAAGACACTGCAGACATGTTACAGGTGACAGACTACAGACATGGTACAGGAGACAGACTACAGACATGTTACAGGTGACAGACTACAGACATGGTACAGGAGACAGACTACAGACATGTTACAGGTGACAGACTACAGACATGGTACAGGAGACAGACTACAGACATGTTACAGGAGTGGGGAGCAGGTCATAGACTACAGACATGTTACAGGAGATAGACTACAGACATGTTACAGGAGACAGATTATAGACATGGTACAGAAGGCAGACTACAGACATGGTACAGGAGCAGGTCATAGACTACAGATATGTTACAGGAGACAGACTACAGACATGGTACAGGAGCAGGTCATAGACTACAGACATGTTACAGGAGACAGACTACAGATATGTTACAGGAGGCAGACTACAGACGTGGTACAGAAGGCAGACTACAGACATGGTACAGGAGCAGGTCATAGACTACAGACATGTTACAGGAGACAGACTACAGATATGTTACAGGAGACAGATTATAGACATGGTACAGAAGGCAGACTACAGACATGGTACAGGAGCAGGTCATAGACTACAGATATGTTACAGGAGACAGTCTGAGACTACAACCATGCTTTAGGAGTTGTGGGAGACTGGATGCTTGTTATAGTAGTTGCTGGAGATGATAAGAGACTGCAGAAATGTTACAGAAGATGATCAGAGACTGCAGACATGTTAGAGGAGATGGTCAGAGACTGCAGACATGTTACAGAAGAAGATCAGACTGCAGACATGCTACACAATATTGGCAGAGACTGCAGACATGTTACAGGAGACGGTCAGAGACTGCAGACATGTTACAGGAGATGGTCAGAGACTGCAGACATGTTACAGAAGATGATCAGAGACTGCAGAAATGTTACAGGAGATGGTCAGAAACTGCAGACATGTTATACAATATTGGCAGAGACTGCACACATGCTACAGGAGATGGTCAGAGACTGCATACATCTTACAGGAGTTGATCAGAGGCTGCAGACATGTTACAGGAGAAGGTCAGAGACAGCAGACATGTTACAGAAGATGATCAGGGACTGCAGACATGTTACACAATATGGTCAGAGACTGCACACGTTACAGGAGATGATCAGAGACTGAAGACATGTTACAGGAGATGGTCAGAGACTGCACACATGTTAGAGGAGAAGGTCAGGGACTGCAGACATGTTACAGGTGATGATCAGAGACTGCAGACATACTACAGTAGAAGGTCAGAGACTGCACACGTTACAGGAGAAGGTCAGAGACTGCAGACATGCTACAGGTAAGGTTACCACCTCATCCCCTTAAATCTGAACACATATTAATTACACAGGTTCTGAGGCTAATTTAATGCAGATAAGGCATTACTGTAAGTTTAATTACCTCCTTAATCAGCCTCAGTGTAATTAATATGTGTTTGGTTTTAAAGGGATGAGGTGGCAACCCTAGGTAAATGAGATGGTTAGAGACTACAGACATGTTACCTGACATGGTTAGAGACTGCACACGTTACAGAAGAAGGTCAGAGACAGCAAACATGTTACAGGTGATGATCAGAGACTGAAAACATTTTACATGAGATGATCAGAGACTGCATACATGTTACAGGAGGTCAGAGACTGCAGACATGTTACATGAGATGGTCAGAGACTACAGACATCTTACAGGAGATGGTCAGACATGTTACATGAGATGGTCAGAGACTACAGACATGTTACAGGAGATGGTCAGACATGCTTCAGGAAACAGTCATTGACTGGAGCCTTATAACATGTTTGAGTTCCCCGCTATTACATCCCCTTTTCAAAATCCATGCTTCCACCTCTGTATTCCACACCCCTCCTTAATCATTTAAAGCTGAAGTTTAGTGAAATTTCATTTTTTAAAAAACAGCACCAGGGACGGTGCTTACAATAAACTAAGCATGTCCGGTGTACTGGTGGCTGCTGTGTTCGGATGAAGTCTTCAGTCTTCTGCCCCCCCCCCAGATACCACCGCAGCTGTAATCTTCCAGTGTTGCAGGGGTAATGAGTGGCTCCACCTCTGACAGGCACTTGTCAAAAGTCCTGACTATTTTACAGCCCCATGCTCCATTCAGAGAAGCTGTTCCCATAATGAAAAGCACTCTGTGAATGGAGGAGGCAGACTTTTCATTTGTCTGCCCTTTCTCATTTACAGATTGCTTTTCATTATGGGAACTAATAGTAATGCTTTTATGAATGAAATACGGGGGTGGAAAGGGTGGGCATAGCTGATACTTTTGATGAGTACCTTTCACAGATGCAGCTACTCATTCCCAGTCCTGTATACTGCTGTCAGCTTGCTGTGTTTGATTGAAATCTTTAGTCCTATCTTCCTTCTAGACTGTAAGCTCCAAGGAGCAGGGCCATCGAACCCCTCATGTATCGCATTGTATTGTTACTGTACTGTCTCATGTATTGTCTCCCATTGTAATGTACAGCGCTGAGCGAACTGTTGGTGCTATATAAATACTGAATAATAATAATAATCTTCCCCCGAATATCAGCACAGTTGTGATCCTCTAGTGCAGGGGTAGGCAACCTGCGGCTCTCTAGCTGTTGTGGAACTACATTTCCCATGAGGCATTGCAACATTACAAAACTGACAATTACAGCTATGACTTGCAGAGGCATGATGGAACTTGTAGTCCTGCAACAGCTGAAGAGCCGCATGTTGCCTATCCCTGCTCTAGTGCTACAGGGGTATTCAAGGGCAGAGAACTGAGGATTTCAACTATGTCTTCAGTGGGCAGCTTTTTAAGGCTAAATGCCCCTTAAGCACTCTAAAGCTAGAATGTTTCCTAATTTCCAAAAGATTATGGCAAAAAATGAGATCACTGTGGGGTGCCAAAAGAGTTCATCTCTGTACTGTTCTGTCATTTTTGTTATGTTTCATACTAGAATATAAGAACTTTTTCAAATGGAAAGGAGAGGGCAGTAAAAGCAGGCAGTGGAGGTGTGATTTTACTGCCCCCAATCACTGTACACTTAAAAAATTAACCAAAAAGTCGCATTCCTGTGGCAGAACCGCCAGCAAATGCGCCCTCTCAAGTGAACGAGCCTGTGCCACAACCACTCTGCAACCGCATGCAAAGTTGGCAGCTGCGGAACAGTGTTTCTGCCTTTTCAGGAAGAAAACAGCTGGTGAGGGGGGTAATGCCTGTCAAATGGATCTGAAAACCAATCCACTGTGTATCTCTTCTCAGAGGAGTGACATGGGTTTATGCGCATACGAACGAGCCCCAACAGAAACAGTTTTTGCTTTCCTAATTCGTGGTCTTTTTTCCTTTAGTAAAAAAGATAAAAAAAACTGTGATTATTAAATACTACAATAAAAAGTTCTATTTCTCTTTAAAACTCTCTCGCTTTAAAATGATATAAAATGTATTTGGGCACAGTGTTGTGTGACCAAGTAATTGTCAGTCATAATATCACAGCCCTGAAACTTGAAAAATGGCCTGGACAGGAAGGGGCTGAAACATGTTGGGACTGGAGTGGTTAAATTACTTGTGCCTCAATATGTATTCTTCTCAGCAAGATCCATTATAAAAACATGAAGGGATTAAAAGGATAAGCACCACAGGATGATAACAGTGAAAAAGAAATAAAGGGGCTTTGAGGGCCACACAAATAGAGTCCACGGGATATGAAATAATCTACATTCTGTGCAGTGTTATGTATGAATTCAAAGACTAGAGCTGCCAGGGCCACTTTTTAATAGCTCAGTTAGTAAAATCCAATGAAATCCATTTCTTTGTATCACATTATTTTTAGGCTGGATTCGCATGGCTGTGTTTTGTTTCCTGATGTGTTTTCCAAAAAACTCAATGGAAATGCATTCAAATAGACATCAGTGCGCTTTTATGTGTGTTGCACAATTTCAGTGCACATTGCAATGCCCTGTTCACATCATTTTAGCCATTATTTACTGCAATGGACCATATTGTGCATTTATGGGGTGCAATACACCTTTCCAATAGATGTGCTTTGCAGTGCACCATAATGCACAGTAATGTACTAATCAGGGGCGGACTGACCATTTGGAAACTCGGGCACTGCCCGAGGGCCCAGGGCCAGTAGGGGGCCCCATGAGATGCCCCTGGTACCTTTTTCATAGGTTTTTTTGAGTTTGAACAAGGACACAGGGGCCCCATGATCCCCTATTGCCCGGGGGCCCCATTAGTTGTCAGTCCGCCCCTGGTACTAATTGTAGTGTGTTATACACAAAATAGTACATGCACCAATTTATGATGCATTAGGCATAATGTGCATCAACATATGTGCGCAAACACAGCACAACAGTGTAAACAGGGCCTAAGGCTGGCCATACATTATACAATTTTCTTGAGATTTTTGGTTTAGATTTACCAAAAACCATATAATAGGAGGTCATACCTAACAACTCTTTCAATTGTATCCAATTAAGCAGACCCTTGCACTACATAGTTGAAGATAAATCTAAAGGAAATTGGACAGAAAATTGTATAGTGTACGGCCAGCCTTAGACCTGTTTCACATGGTCGATCCGATCGGATCCACCTGCCAGTTTTTCAGGCAGACCTGATTGGATGGTCCATGTAGCCCTATGCAACTGGCAGGTACTTTTTAAAGTGGTTCTAAACACACAAGGGTTTTTTTACCTTGATGCATTCTATATGTTAAGGTTAAAAAAAAAACATCTCTGCAAGCAGATATCCCTCAGTCCCCCCAATACTTGCCTGAGCCCGATCTCGATCCAACGATCTGCACGAGAGCATAAGTTCTTTCCCTCCTCATATGCTCAGACACAGCAACCACTTGCTCCTGCTGCTGGCAATCACATCCAGTGAGACGGGAGCTGGCAGGCGGGGACAAAAAAAACATGCTTTTTGTGTCTTATGGACATACAGAGTAGGCTCAGGAGCAAGCATGCACAAGTGCCCCCATAGCAAAAGGCTTGTTATTAGGGCACTTGACAGGTGGAGGAGCCAGAAGTGCCAGCGGGGGACCTGAAAAGAGGAGGATCAGGGCTGCTCTGTGCAAACCACTGCACAAAGCTGGTAAGTATAACATGTTTATTTAAAAAAAATAAAAAGTATACCATTTAGAATTACTTTAAAATGTTAATATCAGTGCTTGCAAAAAAGTGCTGCTAGTGATATACTGTATAATGTGTACTAAGTCCATCTATGGTCAAAGATTGTGTAAAATTATTATATATTTATAGTAACTAAAAATAATCACACTATGGGGATGATTTACTAAAACTAGAGCATGCAAAATATGTTGCAGCTCTTCAGAGAAACCAATCAGCTTCCAGGTTTTTTGTCAACGCTTAACTGAATAAGCTGAAGTTAGAAGCTGATTGCCCACCAATGCACAGTTTCACCTGATTTTGATCTCTCCAGTTTTGGGGCAGTTTTAGTAGGGTCCATCTGCCCGTATTTCAGGCGGATCCGATAGGAACCTCCATTCTCCTCTATTGAGAGGTAGGTGTAAATGGACATATTTCCATTTACACCTGTTGACATCCAATCCGCCAAGAAGGGACCAATGGGGATCCAATTCCCCTTCCATCCATCGGATCGGGTCAGATGAAAATGGACAGGCAGTCCATTTTCATCCGACCACCCACTGAGGAGAGCGAGCAGCTCTGTGTCTGCTCTGCAGCAGCATAGCAGACACAGAGCTGTCACCAACCAACTTACTCAGGGGGTATCAGCGGAGAGACCTAAACTGCTCCACCCGTGTGAAAGAACCCTTAGTAAATCAACCTCACTGGCTTTATTTCAGAATGTCTTGGATTTATTCTCCAAGGGTCCTATATTAGAAATACCACTAGATGGCATTAGATAGTTGCAGTTTACCAAATTTTGAAGTTTTGCTCACGCAATGAATATAAAAATTGCAGATTCAATAGTTCATCAAAAATGCATATATGTTGTCAGCCATTTCCAAAAATGCTAATTCCAAAAATACATCATAATCTGTTTTTCTTGCTGGTATTGCTGGCGAGGGCAGTAAGGTTCATAAATGGAG